TCTTCAGCTCAAGGCGAGCACTCTACCACTTGAGCTACAGCGCCACTTCCGGTTTTCTGGTGGTTTATTGGAGATAGGAGTCTCACGGTCTCTCCTGCCCAGGCTGGCTTTGAACCGCAATCCTCAGATCTCAGCCTCCTGAGTAGCTAGGGTGACAGGCGTGAGCCACCAGCGCCCGGCAGTTTTCTCTCTTCTGTGTGAAGGGGTTTCATTGTGACACTTCCATATGTGCATATAATGTTCTTGAATCCATCTCCTCTGCCACTCTGCCTTGTTCCCTCCCTACTTTTAAACTAACTGTAACAGGGCTCACTCTGTTTTCACACGTGTGTGTAAAGTACTTGGACATAATGGCTCCATCCTCCTCCCCTGTCACTCTCTTCCCTCCTCTTGGCTCCACTCATGTCATTCTGTTTTTTGGTCTGAAGTCCATATTTGCGAGAAAACGTGATACCTGGTTTTCTCAATTTGGCTTATTTTTCTTAATGATTTCCAGTGCATTCATTTACCGGAAATTGTACAGTTTCATGGCTGAATGATATTCTGTATTGTATATTATATACTCTATTTTCATTATCCATTAAGCTATTGGTGGGAACCTTGGCTAATTCTTTAACTTGGCTGTTTATTAAGAAATTCCATACTTATTCCCATAATCTCCGTAGAGTGCCCTAATAATATACATGATCACCAAACAGCATATACAGGGCTCATTTGTTGTTACTTGTTTTCTTGATGATGGCTATTCTGACAGGAGTGTTTTGATTTACATTTCCTTTGTGGCTAAAGATCTTGAACATCCATGTATTTATTAGCCATTTGTACTACTGAGAACTGTCTGTTCATTTGCCCCTTTATTAATTAAACTATCTGTCATTTTGTAATTCATTTTTGGAACTCTTTGTATATTCTGGATATTAATTCTTTTTTTTTTTTTTTGTCATCGGTCAGGGGCTTGAACTCTGGGTCTGGGCTCTGTCCCTCAGCTCTTCAGCTCAAGGCAAGTGAGCTGTCTACCGCATGAGCTACAGCGCCACTTCTGGTTTTCTAGTGGTTTATTGAAGATAAGAGTCTCACAGTCTTTCCTGCCCAGGCTGGCTTTGAACCGTGATCCTCAGATCTCAGCCTTCTGAGTAGCTAGGATTACAGATGTGAGCCACCAGCACCCAGCTGGATATTAATGCTTTATCCAATGAATAGCTGGAAAAGATTTTCTCCAGTTCCAGTGACTCTTGATTCTGACAGTTGTTTCTTTATACAATCCCATTTGTCAAGTCTTGCTCTTATTTCCTGAGAATTAGTTTTATATTTTCAGATGTTTTTCCTATGTTTTTCAGTAGTAATTTCAATGCTTTAGGTATCACATTAAGATCTTTGATCCATTTTGAGTTGATTTTTTTTGTTTTTGGTTGTGGAGCTTGAACTCTGGGCCTGGGCGCTGTCCCTCAGCTCTTCAGCTCAAGGCAAGCATTCTACCACTTGAGCCACAGCGCACTTCCAAAAACCAACCTCCCTCTCTCCCTCCCTCCCTCCCTCCCTTCCTCCCTCCCTCCCTCTCTCGCTCTCTCTCTCCCTCTCACTCTCTCCCTCTCTCCTCCCCCCCCCTTTCTTTCTTTCTTTTAGTCGGTTATGGGGCCTGAACTCTGGGCCTAGGCACTGTCCCTTAGCTTTTCAGCTCAAGGCAAGCACTCTACCACTTGAGCCACAGTGCCACTTCGTTGAATTGATTTTTATACAGAGAGAGAGATAAGGAACTACTTTCAGTTTTCTAGATGTGAATGCTCAGTTTTCCCAACACAATTTTTTTTCCAGTGTATGTTACAGAATCCTTTGCAAAAAATAACTTGACTAGAAACAAATAATGTGACTGAAATATGGATTTAGTTCTAGATCTTCTGCTGTATTCCATTGATCTGAGTTGTGTTTTGTTTGTTTGTTTGTTTATTTGGCCGTCATGGGGCTTGAACTCTGGGCCTGAGCGCTGTCCCTTGGCTCTTCAGCTCAAGGATAGCATTCTACCACTTGAGCTACAGCGCCCACTTCTGGTTTTCTGGTGGTTTATTGGAGATAAGAGTTTCACAGAGCTGGGCACTGATGGCTCATGCCTGTAATCCTAGCTACTCAGGAAACTGAGGTCTGAGGATCATGATTCAAAGCCAGCCCAGGCAGGAAAGTCCGTGAGACTCTTATTTCCCAATAAACCACTAGAAAACCAGAAGTGGTGCTGTGGCCCAAGTGGTAGAGCGCTCACCTTGAGCTGAAGAGCGCAGAGACAGTGCCTAAGCCCAGAGTTCAGCTCCAAAACCGACCAAAAAAAAAAAAAAGAGTTTCACAGACTTTCTTGCCTGGGCTGGCTTTGAACCGTGATCCTCAGATGTCAGCCTCCTGAGTAGCTAGGATTACAGGCATGAGCCACTGGCACCTTGCAGAATTTTTGTTTTTGTTTTTTTTTAATTATTTTTTTTTGTGAAAATACTGTACAGAGGGGTTACAATTGCATGGGCAAGATAATGAGTACATTTCTTATCAAGCATTGCAGCCTCCTCCCTTGTTTCCCCTTCCCATCCCTTCCCAGCCTCCCCCCGCCCCCCAACCCAATCCTCCCCGCTCCCCCCTCCCCCCAGAATTTTTATTTTGTAAGGCTATTGTGGATACGATTATTTTCCTGATTTCTTCCCAGGCTGCTTGTTACTGATACATAGAAAAACTGCTGATTATAGTCTATTGATTTTTGTATCCTGCTATTTTGCCAAAAGTGTTTATCAGGTTATAAGTTTTTTTTTTAATTGGAATCTTTAGAGTCTGTGAAATATAGGATCCTATCTGCAAATAGGGATTAATTGACTTCTTCCTTTACTACTTGTATTGCTTTTATCTCTGTTGTGAAAGCACATTGTATTTAATTCCTCCAGAATTTGGAATCAATATTATGTCAATGTTCACTTAACACTTTGATATGCAAACATAGTACATCTGTGTGCTTATGCTAGTACTGGGGTTTTGAATACAGGGCCTGAGTACTGTTCCATAGCTTTTTCACTCAAGGCTTAAGTCACAGCTCTACTTCTGGCTCTTTGGTGGTTTATTGGAGATAAGAGTCTCATGTACAGTCCTACCTGGGCTGACTTCAGTCTTGATCCTCAGATTTCAGCTTCCTGGGTGGCTAGGATTGTAAGTGTACATCTTTTTTATTTCTTTTTTTGGGGGGAGGGGTCCCGTCATGGGTCTTGAACTCTGGCCTGGGCACTGTCCCTCAGCTGTTCAGCTCAAGGCTAGCGCTCTACCACTTGAGCCACAGTGCCACTTCTGGCTTTTTTTTCCTTTTTTGCTTATGTGGTGCTGAGGAATCGAACCCAGGGCCTCAGGCATGCAAGGCAAGTGCTCTACCACTGGGCCACCTTCCCAGCCCCAGTAAGTGTACATCTTGTGTCCAGCGATGTGTATGGTTTTGTGAGATATGATCCTTTCCTATTAAGTTTCTTCTGCCAATGGAATAACAATTGTGGGTCACACGCTAAGTTGACGCTTGAGAAGTTGATGGTCCTGTCTGTACAGCTTCCTCCGGTGGGTGCATGAGCGTGTAGGTGCTGCCTCCTGAAAGGAATATGGCCATACCGGGCCTGGGGCCCAGGAGGGACACATCACACTGATTAGTCATCCATTTCCTGATTTCATTCTCAGGAAAGGGCCTCTTTCAGATGCCCTTATTTGAGATTAGAAGAGTTGTCGTGTGCTATTTTCTGAGTGATGTGTTCCAGGGTCAACAAATTCCAGGTCCAGTCTGGCCCACAGTGTGCATTTTATACCTCCAGATGGAAGGTGACAGCACAGTACAACAGGGCCTATGCCATCAAGGGAATCCACTCACACGCATTCCTTTGCAAGAGATACTGCAGACGTCTGCTTCTTAGAATTATCACAGATACAGAAAGAGAGAGTCTTAGTGCATTTTGGTGTAGAATTACTTTTGTTTTTCCTCTTTTATATATCATTTTCTTTCTGGGTTGGGGCAGGGCAAGAGGGTCAGTAGAGCATGTAGTCATCTGTCAAATTCCTGTGGGGCTGCATGTGCAGGCCTGCTAACGACAACTGTCTGCTTCCAAACCGCGTCCTTGCAGCTGGGGTGAAATAGTAACCATACTTTCCATCATTTAATTTGGTGCCTTTCTCCATCTATTTAGTAGCAGATTATCACAACAAACAGCTTTTGACACAATGAAACATTCAGTTTCAAGTAAGTAAAGTAATGGCAGAAAGGAGAATATAAAAAATAACCTGCTGCTGAATTACTGAATATGTAGTAGTAATATGTATTTTTATTATCACTCCTTCAGCAAAGCCAAATGGATATGTCTTGCTGCTTCCTAATTCATCCGCCCTTGAAAGGTGTGTGGGTCTGGTGGGATGGTAGGAGTTTTTAAAAATCTTGGAACCCTTAAGTCCTTCCTGAGGACACGTCTACATTTCCTTTCCCATCTTGTCTCATCTTAAAGTCCCACATCCCACCAAGTTGTCCAGAGAATGGGCGATTTATTGGACTTCTAACTTCCTCTGGTACTTAGATTCTCTTAGTGTGAGACTTGAATTCCTGAAACGGGAATACAAGATCTTAGATGGCCAATCAGAGAACTCCAAGCCTGTGGCCACAGTGATTGGATAACTCAGTCCTTTATGAGCACCAGCTACAAAACTGGCTGCTAAGCATGGACAGCCTAGAACTGAAGAGCCTCATCATGAGTGTTCACAATGTGCCCTTTCACTGACCCTGGGTCAGCGTCCTTTACGTGACAAAATGCAGGTTATACTCTTGTGGCCCTTGTTTGACCTGTGCCTCTCCTATATTGATCGTTACTCTGTGCCAAGAGCTCAACCTTTGTCCCTCTGCTGTTCAAGGGAAAATCCCAACCTGGAGCAGTCATGGTTCTTGCAGGGACAGCATGCATTTATGATACTACCACTTGGTAGACAGGGTTAGAGATGTGCTTTCAGATCCTGACAGAGAGGACACTGTTATGTGGGAGGGCAGTACTCTATCCCCTATACTCTATCCCTGGGCCTCAAGAGATAGGAATCTAGAGGGAGAGAGACAGCATGGACTGGTACCTGCAATGGGTCCAGCATGTCATCCAAACAGGTTTACCAACAAGATATAGTTGATGGATCTGAAGCAAGCAGACGTGAGTTCATGCTGTGAGGCCATGCTGTGACAGAGAGGTGGTCAGTGAGGTATACATCTATGCAGCCCCGCTGGGCGTGGGGTTCATGGGACCAGGCAGGCTTCCCCTATCTGTCTGCGGGGAGGTGTCACCAAGAGAGGATAAATCCCTGAGTCAGTCACACTGAAGAACTAGTAGGAGGTGGAGGACTAGAAACTGTGTCTGGGGTGATGGCTCTGTGCTGATTGAAAAAGTTAAATTTACACTTAGAAAGTGCTCCTGGGAAACAGATTAAGAGAACATGCTGTCCCCAGGCTGGGGCTGTCAGTCAGCAGAGAAGGGGTCTCTCTGAGGTCCTGCTGTCAGGTTGGCCAGGCCAGGAGAAGACAGACCAACTTGAAAACTAACCCAAGTGATATTTTCCTGTTCACCTTTGGACTGACAAGTGGTCAAACTGGGGCTGGCAGTGTGCGTTGACAGAAAAGTGACTGCTCCTGCTCTCGGGTGGGGGTGGGCTGGGGTGGAGGGTGTCTGGCCAGCAGGTGCAGGTGGGAGTTGGAAGATGCTGAATTGCTGAGTTGAGAGAGACTGCCTGGAGGAGCAGGGACAGAAAAGGCCGTGCGAGGTGCTGTGCTCACAGGCTGTGTTTGATTCGTAGACAGGCAGCAACCAGGAGAGCACAGGAGGCGATCAAACCCTGGTAGCACTGAGAGAGGACGCCTCCCTGGTCTGTTACATGCAAGTGTGTTTAACTGATGACTTTAAGCTATAGAAAAGTGCTGGGCTTAAAGAACTCCTTTCATTGATCAACAGAGTGGAGTCGATGGAAGTTGACCTTACTCCTCCAGTGCAGAAAGTAAGTACACTTACACCACCACGTTGCTTATTTCTCAGGAAAGGATGTTTAATACTTCACAGTTGACCTCAGTGTCCATAAACATAGTGTTTGTTTAACAGTGTCCCAGCCTCCGGCTGAGCTCTTCACTGTTTGCTGGCCCTGGCATATGTGAGTTGTGGTTCTAAACTCGGTCTTTGCATTCTTCCCTAATGAGGAGGCGTGTCATCATGGGAGGCACAGGGTCCCAGGAGGGGCAGGGGCATGACTCGCGCTTCCCCTGCCCTTACCTACAGCCTCAAGAAGAAACACAAAACACGGTTGAAGAAACACAGAAACTTGTCGTTTCTGGAAAAGGATTGAAAATGGGAGAACTGAGAAAGCAGAAAGCCACAGCTGTAACTTGGAGAGAGAGGCAGAGATGCATGATTAGAACCGATGGCAGTTCTGTGCCCTGCCCAGTGCTGACAGAGCTGCAGGGCTGGGTGCTGGGCGAGCTGTGACCACAGAAGGGAGCAAGGAGGAAGGCCGCAGGCACTTGTCTTGTGGGTGTCGCCTGGAGAGCTTCAGGCACCAGGCTGCTCCCAGCACGGCTCCAAGCCCTTGTGGATGTGAACAGTCCCTCTAGTTCTCTCCACAGTGGACACCGCTGTGGGGACTTGTTAGAAGTAATGTCCGCTTCTAGCAGAGTCTCCCAACCCGACTCCTCGGTAAGAAGGTAGAATGACCCACTTTAGGAAGGAGGCATCTGGCTCCTTGGCAGCTGGTGTGAGTACAAGCCGCCTCTCTACCCAGCTAACTTCCCAGCGCCTCCCGCCACGCCGGCTTCCTGCAGTGTCTCCCTCCACCCGCGCACTCCCCAGGCCTCTCTGCACTCGCAGATCTTGCCAGGCACCTTGGCTCCTCGGGCTAAGCACCCGCTTCCACCTGTGTTTCTGTCCACAGGTGGCCTTGTTTTGGGGGTGGACACGTACTGTGGCTTCATGGCTCCCACAGCATGTGAGGAAGTTTTCCTGTCAGTTTAGTTTTTCTTCAGACCCAAGCAGTTGGGCCAGGCTAGAGATGCTAAAGACCACAGGCTCAGTCATGCTGCTATACTTGTCACGGAACACAGTACAGGGAATAGTGAAATCCTGAGCCAGCCAGGGGGGATGTTTTCTAGAAGGGGCCAGGTGGTTTCAGCTGCAGCTACTGAGCTCTACTGTTGAATTAAAAACTAGCTGCCTGGCACTGGTAATCCTAGCTACCCAGGGCTGAGATGCAAGGATTGCAATTCCAAGTCAGCCCAGACAGGAAAGTTTGTGAGACTTTTTTTCTTGTTTTGTGCATTATTCCTTTTAATAGGTAAGTTATATTTAAAACAACTCATTTCCCATTACAAAGCATCCTTCCTTCCCATATCTTGTGCACCTTCAGCTCAGCTAGTGAAAGGAACTTAAGGCTGTGTTCTTTATACCAGCTCTGGTGCTCTGTCCTTACGCCACCCCAGTCCAGAGGAGACCCTGTAGACCAGACGCTCTGGTGCTCTGTCACTTACGCCATCCCAGTCCAGAGGAGACCCTGTAGACAGGATGCTCTGGTGCTCTGTCCTTACGCCATCCCAGTCCAGAGGAGACCCTGTAGACCAGACACTCTGGTGCTCTGTCCCCCCTGCCACCCCAGTCCAGAGGAGACCCTGTAGACCAGACGCTCTGGTGCTCTGTCCCTTATGCCATCTGAGTCCAGAGGAGACCCTGTAGACAGGATGCTCTGGTGCTCTGTCCTTACGCCATCCCAGTCCAGAGGAGACCCTGTAGACCAGACGCTCTGGTGCCCTGTCCTTACGCCATCCCAGTCCAGAGGAGACCCTGTAGACCAGACGCTCTGTCCTCTGTCCCCCCTGCCACCCCAGTCCAGAGGAGACCCTGTAGACCAGATGCTCTGGTGCTCTGTCCCCCCTGCCACCCCAGTCCAGAGGAGACCCTGTAGACAAGATGCTCTGGTGCCCTGTCCCTTACGCCATCCCAGTCCAGAGGAGACCCTGTAGACCAGATGCTCTGGTGCTCTGTACCCCCTGCCATCCCAATCCAGAGGAGACCCTGTAGACCAGATGCTCTGGTGCTCTGTCCCCCGCTCCCACCACCCCAGTCCAGGGGAGACCCTGTAGACCGGATACTCTGGTGCTCTGTCCCTTACGCCACCCCAGTCCAGGGGAGACCCTGTAGACAGGATGCTCTGGTGCCCTGTCGCCTCCTCCGCCCCAGTCCAGAGGAGACCCTGTGGAGTCCAGGTCCCAGGTCTGACCTTCAGGGCCTAGGCGTAAACTAGGCTCTGAAGGCCTGCAGGTGGGAAGGGGGCATGCAGCTGTGGAGTCCTGTGGGCTCTCTATAGCTAGCTCAGGAGCACCCAGGGGCAGGTGGTAGGGCCAAAGCCTGGGAACAGGGACCCAGCCTCCTAAGTGACTGGGCAGCCTTACTCTGTGAGACTCCTGTCTCCAATAAACTACCCAGAAAAAGCTGGAAGTAGTACTGTGGCTCAAGTGGTAGAACACTAGCCTTGAGCACAAAGAGATTCAGGGACAGGCCCTGAGTTCAAACCCCAGGACCAGCAAAAGCAAAACAACAAAAACTAGCCCATATAGCAATGAATGAGTGTACTATTCCAATAAAGCTTTATTAACAAACACAGACAGAGGACATAGTTTTTGCACTGTGCTACACAGAACATGAAGTCTCAAGGAAAATGTCTAAAATCAACTGTAATCTCCGAAATTCTTTGTGATTCCTGGAGTGGATCTGTAGAGCCTTTTTGGAGAAGGCAGACTTGCAGTTGTGGCTGCCCTTCCGTAATGGGGAAGCAAGGGCTACTCCAGTTGGACCCGAGGTTCAACCCAAGTTGAGCAGAGGTTCCGGGGTGCCTCTTGGGGTGCTCAGTAGGCTTGAGTCTTTCTGGCTGGCCCGCTGAGATCAGTGCCCCTCCCTCTGACTGAACGTGCACCTGCTAACCCCTGGGGAGAAGCATTGTCTGGTTTGAGGAGTGAAACTTCGCTATTATTTCTGCCCAAAGCTTTGATCTGAAAAGAGCACAGAACCTTCTGCTGTGTGCAGCTGATAGATCTTTTTATAAGGTAAATCATGACTTTCAAACATAAAGGAACACCTCCCACCTGCTTTATTTAACTGTTTGTGAGAGAATAGGATAAAATGGGAAAGTTTCGCCACAGAAAATCCAGAGGGCAAACACCTACAAGAGAGAGACTACTGAGGGACACAGCACTCCGCCCCTCATGTGGCAGAGCCCATGTGACAGTGGGCAGGAATCTCCTGGCTGTGAGACTGCGGCTTCATACGGTGTCTACACTTCTCCTGGATCTTACCAGAGCACTTACTGTCTGTTAAGAAAACCCTCTATGGCCTGGCGCCTCTGAATCACGCCTGTAATCCTAGCTTCTCAGGAGGCTGAGATCTGAGAATCATGGTTCAAAGCCAGCCTGGGCAGGAAAGTCCATGAGGCTCTTATTTCCAGTAAACCACCAATAAACCAGAAGTGGTGCTGTGGCTCAAGTGGTAGAGTGCTAGCCTTGAGCTGAAGAGCTGAGGGACAGCGCCCAGGCCCAGAGTTCAAGCCCCACGACCATCTAAAAAAAAAAAAAAACTACATGAAGCAAGTTATAAGTAAGAGGAGAGAAGAATCTGGCACACTTGGACTCCAAGCATGAGCCAGGCCACCCAGCATGCTGGTCCCAAGCAGTCTCAGAGCACAGCATGATGCTATCTTCATGGAAACGGCCTGCTGAGGTGAGGGGTGGAGTGACCCCACTTGCATCCCATGGCCACCAGGCCTCGGGGGCCTCCTGCCTGAGGGCATAACATGCAAGACCTCTCTGCGGATGCCATTCTCAGACCACCCTGCCTGGTCTGCCATCATGGTTTAATTGCCACAGTCACAGTAGCGGCAGCCAGAGTGGAGGGACCATTAAACCTGCCCCTGAGCCAGCTGCTCCAGGATGAGCTGGGGGACGGAATGTGGTGCAGCCCAGGCTGGATGAAGCCCAGACTAGAAACAGAAAGCCAAACTTAGCATACATGAATCATACCAGGGAAATGTTATTGTAACATGTCCACACATGTGCTATGTACCCCAATCAATCCCACCCCTCTCACATCCCCACCCCCCTTCCTGAAACAATTGGAGCAGATTTTATTGTCTGCATACATGCAAACCCACTGCTTGAACCCTGTGGATCCGTGTTCACTGTCCTTGTCAGCCCAGACCCGCCCTGCTCATATCCATCCCTGCAACAGAGCAAAAAGCCAAAGCGGTAAGTGTGCCCAGCAGCTCCTGAGCAACCCCTGTGTGGGGGTTCACGTGACCTCTGCCCCAGACCCTGCAGGACTGCCAAGTACCTCCCTCAGTGTGGGCCATCACCTTGGGTGCTTTGGCCTCTTTGCATTCTTTTTGCATTAACTGTTACTAAACTCTTGGCCCAGATAAGGAGCTGGAGACAAATCAGAACCAGAATCAGTTCCTCTGAGGTGGTACCAGAGATTGAACCCAGGCCTGTGCCAGCCAGGTCTTTCCCCGCTTAGTTACATCTTTAGCCTTTTTTGTTTTACTTTGAGACAAAATCTCACTGAGGTGGCCAATTCTGGTCTTGAGCTTGTCATCCTCCTACCTTAGACTCCCAAGTAGCTGGAATTACAGGAGTATGCCACCGTGTTCAGCCAAGAAGCCATTCTTATTAGCATCAACATGAAAATGGGCAGTTTACCTCATCTAAGTCTTTGTGAAGTTTCAAATGATGCATCAACTTCAAATAAGATGTAAGTTCATGTGAGCTGCACGTGCCTGCCAGGAGCTGCAGAGCAGCTGGAGAGAAGGGGCCAGGACAGGAAGGAGTAGTACCTGGAGGGTCTTCTGTGGAGTTGTGAGCTCAGAACCTACCTGTGGGTCACATTGCTGTCCATGGCACAGTGAATGACTGGCTTTTGGGCATCTGGACTTGGTAGGCAAGTGCCAGCCTCCATACAGCAGGACTGGCAGTCCTGGGGCTTGTGGAAGAACCGGCACCGCTGGGAAGGTGACCTCGTGTGAACCACAGGAGGCACCCAGAGCCATGGACGAGAGCACTTCTGTGCCTGTGAGGGGGAGCCGTCAGCCCTGGGCACCACATCCTAAACTAGTCGCCACAGACGGGAAGAGCTCTCACCTCTACAAGTTCTCTGTTGGATAGGCATGGGGTTCCCAGCCTCAGGTAGTAAGGAGAGGGGGAGGGTTACGGCAAGGTGGCGAGTGAGCCTGTGAGAGCAGTGATTTCCATCTGGAGCCACCCCTCAGGCTGACACCATGGAAAGCACGGTGCGCGTCCCAGAGGGGCCCGGAGCAGGGACACTCCCGCCAGCAGAGGCGATAGGAATAGAAAGGTTCTCCTGGCGGGTCGGAAGTGCCTGGGTCACAGGAGGTCTCGTGGGTGGGATGCTAGGGAGAGCACCAGAATCAGCCTGGGATAGTTGACAGGGCAATTTTTAGACCCAGGAAGGGAAGTGAAAGACCTGGGAAAGAATACTGGCAGTGGGCACGGAGCTAAGGAATGGCCACAGCAGAGAGGGATCAGCAAACGTGCCCGTTGATGCCCACTGTGAGGACGAAGCCTGCAGCCCAGCTTCCCAGCCTCGGCAGGCAGCTCTGAGCCCTCAGCCTCCTGAGGCTGGAGCAGGGTGGGGACTGCCCGCCTCCACGTTGCTCCTGGGAAGAAGCTGCAGAGCAGGAAGACCTGGACAGCTCTCCTCAAGAGGACCGTCACACATGTTACATCTCCTGACATCAGCCAAGAACTCTGGGTTTGTTTTTCTTTATCCTGGCATTCTTTTTTATGTGTGTGTGTGCTGGTCCTGGAGTTGAACTCGGGACCTGGACACTGTCCCTGAGCCTTTGTGCTCTAGGCTAGCACTCTTAACACTTGAGCCACAGCTCCACATCCATTCCCCATCCCCTTTTTTTGTGTGGTTAGTTGGAGATAAGTCTCGCTGACTTTGTTGCCCAGGCTGGCTTCAAACTGCAATCCTCAGATCTCAGCCTCCTGGGTAGCTAGGATGACAGATGTGCCGTTCTCCTGGCATTCTTAAAGCACTTAGTGGGGTCTTAGTCCTGTTGACTGTTTCAGGCCTTGATGGAGCAAAGGGAACAAAGCCAGGCCCACTCTGCACTAGCCACAGGGTCATGTTCTGGCCTGTGAGTGGAGCTGGATTTATCCAGCTGGGGCTGAGAAGGAGAGGCCCAGAGCTCTGAAAACCCCGGAACTGTCTGAGCCTCACAAATGGCCATCTGGGAACTTAACTAACTGTTCTCTTTTGTTCACTCAGCCCGAGGTAGCAGCAGGGCCTGCAAGGATCTCTCTGATTAGCCCGCCTCAGGATGGACGCATGGGTGAGTACAAGTTCTATAGAACGTTTGTGCTCTACCACTTGAGTTCAGTAAACACTAAGTGAAAAATGAACTGCGTAACTTGTAGACAGGGAGAAAGCAAAGGAAGGGGTGACATTATCCAAAAAAGGAAATTCACTCATTACCTGACTTACAAAATGGTACCTTCCCTGTACAACACTTTCATAATAGCAATAAATTATATTTAAAAATAAATATTGACCTTTATCTAATAACACACAAAAATCAACTCAGGCCCCTGTGACTCACACTTATAATTGGAGCTACTCAGGAGGCTGAGATCTGAGAGCCCTGGTGTGAAGCCAACCTGAGCAGGAAAGTCCATGAAACTCTTTATCTCCCATTAACTACTCAAAAGCCAGACGTAGAACTGTGGGCTCAAGTAGTAGAGCACTAACCTTCAGCAAAAAAAAATGCAGGGACAGCACCTACGCCTGAGTTTAAGCCCTGGAACCAGCAGACATACACAAATTAGGATAAATCAAAGACCTAAAACTATAAAATTTAAATTTAAAATGTTTTTCAGGGGCTGGGGGTGTGGCTTAGTGGTAGAATGCTTGCCTAGCGTGCATGAAGCCCTGGGTTCGATTACTCTGTACCACATACACAGGAAAAGCTGGGAGTGGCACTGTGGCTCAAGTGGTAGAGCACTAGCCTTACACTAAAGAAGCTCAGGGATAGTGCCAGGCCCTGAGTTCAAGTCCCAGGACTGGCACAAAAAGAAAAGGTTTTGCAACAAAAAACTATCAAAATGAAAAAAAAAGTCCCATCTCCTAAATGAGAAAAAGATAGTTGTCAATCATATATATGCCTGAGAAGAAATAGAGGTCAAGAATAATAAAGTAAGCCACCTTATTCAAGGATTTATTGGGGCTGGGAAGGCGGCTCAGTGGTAGAATGCTTGCCTCTCATGCATCAGGCCCAGGGTTCGATTCCTCAGCACCACATACAGAAAAAGCCAGAAGTAGGTGCTGTAGCTCAAGTGGTAGAGCGCGAGCCTTGAGCTGAAGAGCTGAGGGACAGCGCCCAAGCCCTGAGTTCAGGCTTCACGACAGACAAAAAAAAAAAAAAAAGGATTTATTGCACACAGTTTTAACAAAGCATAACCAGAAAGCAGTAAACTTTTAAAAACTCAAAACCAAAAGCTTTAAATTCCTGCATGAATCTTGCAGCCCAGTTGATACGGAGCTCCCAGTCCTGCATTATTACCAGTTGTGTTCAGGTTGCGTGATATCCTGAGCTTTTTTCGCCAGTACTTAAGTTTGTGAATATAGGCCTCCCAAAAAAGAGGAGAGTGTCCAAAACAAGGTAAATGGTATTCTAATCCTTGAAAGACATCAAGCCCTTCATGTGTTTGATGTCATGGTTGTATTGAAAGTTGTAGATTTGTCTTTAGCAGAAGTTGGGTGACATTATAGGAAAAATGAGTCACGTATCCACAATTCAGTACTGAACTGCATCCTGACCATTTGTGGCTTTTTATCAGCAGTAGGATCTACCTGTGGATCCCAAGGTTCTGTTGTATAAAGAAGTTCTAAAATTGGGCAATGGAAAAAATTGTAAGTGATAGAAGGAACTGAATGGAAGAAGGCATACACACGGCTGATAAGCACTTGTACTCACATCCATCCAGTCTTTAGAGGATGCAAGTTAAAGCTGCAGCAAGGCACCACCTCACAAGCACAAAGATGGCTACTATAGTTTAAAAAATGACAGCTAAGGGGCTGGGAAGGTGGCTCAGTGCTAGAGCGCTTGCCTTGCATGCCTGAGGCCCTGGGTTCGATTCCTCAGCACCACATAAGCAAAAAGAAAAAAAGCCGCAAGTGGTGCTGAAGAGCTGAGGGACAGCGCCCAGGCCCAGAGTTCAGGCCCCATGACCGGACCCCCCCCAAAAAAAATAAAAAATTACAGCTAAGCAACAAAAAAAATAAGTGATGGGGAGAAAATGACTTATGCACTGTTAGTGGAGATGTAGAATAGCACAGCCACTGGAAAAAATGGTACAGTGGTTCATCAACAGTGCAAGTTAGGCTTACCATAGGTGAGCAGATCCACTGCTGTCCCTGCGTCAAAAGACCAGGAGGTAGACCTAAAGTCTGTATGCTCTTTATACCAACATTGTCTACAGCAACATTGTCCACCTGAAACAGAAGCAGCCTAAATTGACAGATGAATGGCATCAAAAGACATGGCAGACAACAGTGTGCACACAGAAATATGAAAACAACCCTATTTGCCATGACCTAGAAAAAAAGTCTAGGAATTAACCTAACCATAGCGAAAACTATACAAATCTAAAGAAAGAAATCAAAGACGGCACCATGCCTTCCATGCTCACAGATATGTAGAATCAATACTGTGAAAATGGCCATACTGCCACAAATGATACACAATTCAATGCACTCCTGTCAGAATTCCAGTCACAGTCTTTACTGAACAGAGAAAACAGTCCAAAGCTTCATGTGGAACAACGAAAGCCAGCCACAGCAGTGGGGTTCTGCCCGGCCAGGCCCCTCGCACAGCTCCTCAGGGAGGTGCAGGCCAGACCCGCACTTCTGGTCCCAAGTCTTGACATCAAGCTTCTGGTTTGGAGATTTTTGTTTAGTTGTGAGGGTTTGTTTTGCTTTTGGTTTTGGGTTTTTTTTTTTCCAGTTAAGGGGTTGAACTTAGTGCCTGGGCACTGTCCCATACTTCTGGTTTCCTGGTAATTAATTGGAGATAAAGAGTCTCACGGACTTTCCTGACCCAGGCTGGCTTTGAACCTCGATCCTCATATCTCAGCCTCCTGAGTAGCTAGGATTACAGGCATGAGCCACCAGCACCCGGCTTGTAGGTTTGTTTTGTTTTGTGAATCCAGACCTGGGGTTTGAATGAGGGGCCTTGAGCTTTCACTTGGCTTTTTCTCTCAGGGATGACACTCTTACCACGTGAGCCACACCCTTAGTCCCTAATTGGAAATAAAATCTCAGAAACTTTCTTCCCTGGGTTAGCTTCGAGGGCTAGGATTACAGGTGTGAGCCAGCAGCACCCAGCTGTCCGATCACTTTTGTCTCTACACAGTGACAAACATGGACTGACCACCAAGCACCTGACCTGCAGAAGCAGCCACATGAGAGCGTTTATGCCCTTTCACAATGTAGTATTGATGTGAACCACAGGAAGAAACCAGAAGCTTAGGTGGGAGCTGGTAGCTAGCTACTCAGGAGGCTGAGACCTGAGGATTGTAGCTCGAAGCCATCCCGGGCAGGAAACTCTGTGAGACTCTTACCTCCAGTAAACTACTCAAAAAGGCTAGAAATGGCACTATATGGATCAAGTAGTAGAGCATTGCCTTGAGCAAAGAAGCTTAGGGATAATGTCTAGACCCAGAGTTCAAACCCCAGGACCAGTGTCGCCCTCGTTTGTCTTGTGGTATAGTAGGTCTCATCTCCCCACTTCCCCGCCACCCAGAGTACCACGATGTGCTAACCTGAACACAGTGTGTTTATTTTCTCCACAGGCATCATCTCCCGGGGCGCACAGCACCCCAGCCTGACACCCAGCCACATACGTGTGGGGAAGGCCCTCAGGTACTGTCTCCACAAGATAACGCACAGATCAAAACTTACCTTTGTGGGGCTGGGAAGGTGCCTTGCATGCCAGAGGCCCTGGGTTCCATTCCTCAGCACCACATAAAGAAAAAAGGAAAAAAAAGCCGGAAGTGGCGCTGTGGCTCAAGTGGTAGAGCGCTAGCCTTGAGCTGAAGAGCTGAGGGACAGC